TCCAAATCAGGAACCAATCTAACAGACGTCTATGATTTCATGTGGGAGGCTTTCCTCCTACGTGGACTTGACATATCGAAATACAACTGAACTGGGTTCATTCCTTGGGCTCAGTCACTCTCAGCGTCACGAACACAACACCCCGAAGTACAAATAGTAGCAATTAAAGTTTTATTGCGAGTTTTTATTACCACTTTATATAATGGCCAGCAAGATACTGCAAAATAACCGTTTTGTTGTTTTACGTTTGTCAATGAAGCACTCAAGATGGGTAAAACACGTGTGAACTGACACCAGTTTCTTGTCACATATTACCGTTCCTACGGTTAAAACATGTCCCACGTGACTGCTTTACATTTTTTGTCCCAAATTGCTTTGTGATCGCCTCTCTGATTATTAAAGGGGCGACGGGGTAGTCTAGTGGTTGTGTGACAATACAGTGATCAACAGCAAGATCCTTAATCTACGCATTTGGGATGCGATGACACGTGTCAGCCAAGTCAGCGAGTCTGACCACCCGATCCCTTTATTGCCTCTTCATGACAAGCATGTGTTGCTGAAGACCAATTCTAACCCGGATCTTCACGGGTCATTTTGGAAGATGGTACCTCTGACATTGTTCACTGAAATGGAATATAATATGATATAATGTTATTTTCGAGGACTTACCAACAGACCGACAAAATACTTCATTACTAGAAATATGTTTACATGTTCGTATATTTGTGGTAATACGATAACATAACGAAGCAGACATTCTTGTTTTAGCACAGATTAGTGCACAGCTATCTATTGCCAACAAACTTTTCATTATGTTTTATGCAGTGATAAGTGGGGAGCCAGCCAGGTTGCTGCCTAAACTTTTGCAAATTTAAAACACAATTCACATCCTGGCAATCTGATCACATGATCAGGAGCACATGGGCTCAGTCAGACAGTAGGCCTCCATGTTGACAGCAGCACACATTGAGTTATGGCAGAACACAGATGTGAGTTATTTCTTGAATTTATGTTGCTTTTATGTTCAAAATGAGTTCAGAGAAAATACATTTGATTCAATTAATGCTTATTTAGAAAATATGGATTTTGAATATGTGTACACTTTATTAGGTTCAGGTTTGGATTGTATGCTAAACACGTATTTTGTTTCTCCTTTATAGTTTCTCTGAACCTCTCGTCAACTGTTTGTATACAACGATACAACGTATGTACTTAATGCAAAGCTACAACAACGATAGACATAACGAAAACGGAAATAAACTTTGGTGAGAGTGTATATCAGACTAATGTGTTTCTTGCCACAACATTAGTTCAGAGAAAATCTTCATACATATGAAGAATACTGGAGGCTCTCAATACTAGATAGTTTGTGTGTGTTTAACTGGAAACTGACAGCACATTTGGAACACTGTTGACTGTTATGTGCTGAATGTAATATGGCTTCTCAGGATTCTTTATCCAAATACTTGGCTGAGTATAGTGTTGCAGAAACAGATGACCAGACAGTTACAGAAACGGAGGAACAGCCTGTAACAGAAACGGAGGAACAGCCTGTAACAGAAACGGAGGGACAGCCTTTGACAGAAAGTAACAGTGAAGCAACAGAGACGAGAAGCACATCTGATACAACATCAGGCCAGCAGTTTCCTGATAGTGAACAGCAACTGGGGTCAGGTGTTGATGCTGGAAATACAAGGTCAGTTCGTACTAGGACACAAACTGAAAAGGGACAATCTGAGCGAATACGAATGTTAAAGAATAGACAAGCAGGTGTACTTGGAGCCATCACAAGGAAGAGAAATGAACTTTATAGGCTAATGTTAAGTAGTACTAGTGAGAGTTTACACTTGGTGAAATTTAGTTATGTTGACTTTACTGATTTGTGCCAACAGTATGAAAAATGTTTCACTTCATATTATGATGAGATTGTTTCACAGCAGACAAGAGATGTTGAGAATAAGCGACATGAAGATAAAGAAATTTCAATCTTGCATTTCCGGAATGAGGTAGAACAATGGATGAAACGGGTGGAGAATCAACTGATGGACATCGGAGATAATGGATCCCACAGGAACTCGCAGTCATCTCGGAACTCCATGCGTTCAACTAGATCTGCTTATGCAAAGGAACGGGCAAGGTTAGCAGAACTTTATGCTGAGAAATCTTTGCTAGAACAATCTAAGAAAGTTCAGGAACTTAAGCTTGACATTGAAATTACCAAAATGCAAGCAAGAGAAAGGGCATATGCTGATGTAGAAGATGCAACCCTGAGGCACAGATACATCCCTGAGCCAATTTCTGATGTTAAACCCAATGTTTCTGGAATTCCAGATGAATTTTATGCAAAACCCAGTGTCCTTGGAACTTCAGATGTATTTGATGTTAAACCCCGTGTACATGAGGTACCAGATAGCTTTGGCGTTGAAGTTAATATGCCTCGTAATGCTTCTGTCCCCAATGTTCATTCTTCCATGCTTGATAATCCGGGTAATGGTAGACCACGAGGGAATATTCCATATGAAAGTGGCTTTAACCAAAATGTTTCAACCCGGCAGCTGAATCCCAATGTTAAAGACTTTAAGCCTTCACACTTAGCCACACCTGAGGATGCCACGATGCCTGCTCATAATACATCTCCATCTATGCAAAGACAGAATGAACTAATTCTTCAAACGCATAAACAGATGGCCACAGCGATGCTTTTGCCACAACCAAAGGTACCAACATTTAAAGGCGATCCCATGGCATTTAGTACTTTCATGATGTCCTTTGATGCACGAGTCGCTCCCCATACTACCAATAATACAGATAGATTGTATTATTTTGATCAACAGCTGGAAGGAGAACCTAAAGATTTGATAGCGGGTTGTCTGTATATGAATTCTGCTGATGGTTATCAAAAGGCCAGAGATTTGTTGATCACAGAGTATGGAAATCCTTACACAGTATCAACAGCCTATGTCAATAAGGTTTTTGCTTGGTCAGAGATCAAATATGATGACTCTCATGGATTAAAGCAGTTTTCCTACTTCCTCATCAAATGCCTCCATGCCATGAAAAGTATGTCTCACATGAATGTGCTGAATCATGCTCCAAACATGCAAGCTGTTGTTCTGAAGCTGCCAATCTATCTGCAGAATAAATGGCGAGATCACGTCACTAAAGCTCGGCTTCAAAGGGATAAGGTTATTGCCTTTGAGGATCTTGTACAGTTCATTGAGTTTGCATCCAAGTCTGCAAACGAGCCGGTTTACAGTAAGGATGCAATGTCTAAAAATGAGGTCCACTTACGAAGGCAAGGCAAAGATGCCAAGAGGGATAAACAGACTGTCCACAAACTCAAGTCAAACAGTATTGTGACAAGTAGCAACTACTCAGATTCGACAGATCGTCACAATAGAGGCAGAAGGCTTGCCTGTTACTTCTTCAAAGAGCAACATGATATGGATGACTGCAAACAATTTGCGAAGAAGTCTCTAACAGATAAGCGAGCATACCTGAGGGACAATAAAATGTGTTACGGTTGCTATGGTTACAACCATGCTGTTAAAGGTTGTATGAAGAAACGGACCTGTAAACGGTGTGGGAAGTGCCATCCAACAGCTTTACATGATGATGACTTTCGTCCTGTACGGAATAGACAGGAGGGATTAACAGATACAGGTAGCATCGTGTCAAAGGCAGATGGACATGGCACAACGCATGCCACAGCTGACTCTGTTAACACATCTTGCAGTCATACAAAATCGGACACAGTGGATACGGTGCTGCAACCTATCGTCCCTGTTATTGTGCAACAGAGAGGCAACGAGAAATCAGTAAAGACATATGCACTGTTGGACAATGGCAGTACTGGTTGTTTCATCACAGAAGATCTGAAACATGAACTTGCAGCAAAGTCTACCAAATCAATGCTAAGGCTTCGAACGATGCATGGCGTTAGTACAGTAGGAACTTTAGCAGTGGAGGATCTCATCATGTCAGATATAACTGAGGAAAATGCAATCTTATTACCAAGGACATTTACTAAGGAAGAGATACCAGTTGGTCACAGTCAGATACCTAATCCCGATGTTTTGTTAACATTCCCTCATCTTAGTGAAATGGCAAGCAAGCTACCTGAGTACCAGCCTGATCTTGATATTGGGTTGCTAATTGGAAGCAACTGCCCTCTTGCCCTGCAGCCACAGGAAGTCATTCCATCACAAGGTAATGGTCCCTTTGCTGTACGCTATAAACATGGATGGACAGTTAGTGGACCACTCCATATTAAGTACAACCCATCTGATAACTCCCTTACCTGCAATCGTGCAATTTTCCAAGAAGTCCATGCAGTCCAGGAATATCCTACTCGAGACGCCATTCTGAAGATGTTTGAAATGGACTTTAGTGAACGTGACATTGGAACAGTACCTGGTGAACAAGGCTACTCCAGAGAGGATGAGAAGTTCATGGAGATTGCAAAGACCAACATGAAGCAAGTTGATGGCCATTATGAGCTGCCATTGCCCCTTAGAGATCCCAATGCCACATTCTCCAATAACAGAGAACAAGCTGAAAAAAGAGCAAAGTGGCAGAAAAAGAAAATGTGTCAGAACGAACAATATCATCAGGACTACACAACATTCATGGACAACCTTATCTTGAAAGGCTACGCCTATAAGATCCCCAACAATAAGTTGACAACAGAAACAGGGAAGGTGTGGTATTTACCCCACCGTGGTGTTTACCATCCAAAGAAACCGACGAAGATACGTGTAGTATTTGATTGTAGTGCCAAGTATGACGGGACATCGCTGAATGATATGCTCCTTCAAGGACCAGATCTCACAAATTCACTGGTTGGAGTGCTGACCAGATTTAGAGCGCAGCCTGTGGCATTCATGGCTGATATCGAAGCCATGTTCTATCAAGTAAAGGTTCCTCCCCAGCAGCATGATCTCCTGAGGTTTCTGTGGTGGCCCAATGGCGATTTAAGTACAGAACTACAAGAATAAAGCATGACAGTTCATATCTTTGGAGCAGTGTCTTCACCCAGTATATCTAACTTTGTTTTGAAGGCTACAGCTGATGTTTATGGACTCCCTGTTGCTGACACTATTCGGAACAATTTCTATGTTGATGATTGCCTCAAATCAGTCAGCACTGAGGACACTGCTGTGAAATTAGTTGACAATTTGAGGTCTGCATGTGAAGAAGGTGGATTTCAGCTGACCAAGTTCACATCTAATAACAGAAATGTTCTCAATTCGATTCCATCGGAGCATCACTCAAAACATATTCAAACTCATGACTTGAATTACGATCTCCTTATTGAAAGAGCTCTTGGGATGCAGTGGCATATCAATACAGATATGTTTGGGTTCACGGTTGACTTGAAAGAAAAACCATTCACTCGGAGAGGACTACTCTCAACAATGTCTTCATTATATGATCCCTTAGGTATTGTGGCTCCTGTCATGCTGCCAGCCAAGAAAGTCTTGCAAGATCTATGTACTAACAAGCAGCTTGGATGGGATGATGAAATACCTGCAGAACACAAACTCATCTGGAAGGAATGGCTAAGAGAGCTCCAGTGCCTAAACGTATTGAGGCTGGAAAGATGTCTGAAACCTGCTCTGTTTGGAAATGTAGTGTCTAAACAGCTTCATGTGTTTTCAGATGTAAGTACCATGGGGTATGGTTGTGTAGCATACCTTCGTCTTTGTGATGATAAGGACAACATCCATACAGCATTTCTTATGGGAAAATCCAGACTTGCACCAGTTAAAACAGTCACCATTCCTCGCTTAGAGTTAACAGCTGCAACTGTAGCAGTACACATTGGTCAACTCCAGCTGGACACCAAACCTGACAGTGTAACTTACTATACTGACTCAACCACTGTTCTGCACTATATTAACAGTGAACGGAAAAGGCTCCCAGTGTTTGTTGCCAATCGTGTGAAACTAATCAGAGATTTTTCAGAGCCTGATCAGTGGAAGTACATTGATTCTAAGACCAATCCTGCAGATGTTGCATCTCGAGGCGTGACTCCTTCACAGTTGATTGGGTGCAATGACTGGTTCAAAGGTCCCCAGTTTCTTATGAAACCTGAATCCGAGTGGTCCTTGCAACAGCCAGCTGTTCTGAAAGATTGTACTTATGAAGAAGTAGTCACTGCAACAGAAACACTATCAAAGAAGTCCCAAGACACTATGTGTCAACTGATGGATCATTACTCTAGTTGGTATCGGTTGAAGCGGGCTGTAGTGATATATCACAGATTACTTGACATTCTTCACAGTCGAAAACTGCAAACTAACAAGTCTTCAGGCGGACGCTTCAATCAGCCTTTCACAGTACAGGAACTAGACAGAGCAGAGAATGTTATTCTCAAATTCATACAATTACAGCATTTCGACAAGGAAATGGATTCAAGTAGCAAACGGGGCCGAGTACCCAAGAGTAGCTCAGTGTACAGACTAGACCCCTTCTTAGACAATGGACTACTCAAAGTTGGTGGTCGACTCAGCAGAGCAGAGATTCCAGAGGAGATGAAATACCCAGTTTTATTACCATACAAAAGTGTTGTCACATCACTGATCATCACTGACATACATCTGAGACTTGGGCATGCTGGACGGAATCACGTCTTATCTGCACTAAGAGAGAAGTACTGGGTCATTAAAGCTAATTCTGCTGTTCGTACCATATTGTCTCGCTGTGTCACATGTCGAAAATTGAGAACCCCAGCTTGTGAACAGAAGATGGCTGATCTGCCGTCCATTCGAGTCAAACCTACTCCACCATTCACCTACACAGGGGTAGATTTCTTTGGCCCTCACGTTATCAAGGAAGGACGGAAATATGCCAAACGTTACGGGCATTGTTTACATGTCTTGTGAGCAGAGGAGTCCATATTGAGACAGCAAATTCTCTTGATACAGACTCGTTCCTTCATGCTTTACGTCGGTTCATAGCTCGAAGAGGACCTATCCATGTCATTTGGTGTGACAATGGTACTAACTTCACCAGTGCAGCTAAAGAACTGAGACAGGCAGTAGCAGAAATGAGTCAGGAACGCATTCAGTCTTATCTGCTGAAAAGTAATATTGAATGGAAATTCAATCCTCCATCTGCAAGTCACATGGGTGGCGTGTGGGAGCGACTCATCAGGTCCGTGCGACAGGTACTTTCTCCTCTTCTCAACGAGTTTGGTGAACGTTTGAATGATGAGTCATATCGGACACTATTGTGCGAAGTTGAAGCTATTATAAACTCCCGACCCCTCACCACTGTATCTGACAGTCCTGATGATCTGAATCCTTTATCACCAAATCATCTGTTGATGATTAAGTCAAATGTGTCTATTCCGCCCCCAGGTCATTTTCAGCGCAACGATGTCTACATGAGGCGGAGATGGCGCAGGATCCAGTATCTTGCGAATGTATTCTGGTCTCGGTGGCGGAGAGAATATCTGGTGAACTTACAAGTGCGGCAAAAATGGAATGAATCGAAACGCAACTTGCAAGTAGATGATATTGTTCTGATCATGGACCAAAACATACCAAGACTGCAGTGGCCTATGGGTCGAGTGATTGCAACTGAATCAGACAAACGAAGACATGTGAGAAGTGTAGTGTTGAGAACACTAAAAGGTGAACTGCGTAGGCCAGTACACAAACTTGTGCTACTTCTCACTTCAAGTGAATGAGTGACATGTATTGAACAATAGTGTTACACACTGGTCTCATACCAGACGTTTTGCAGTGACATATTGTGTTAATTCTGCACGTTTTAAGTTTAGTTAAACAGCTATGTTTAAGAGGCGAGTGTGTACGTGCAGAACACTAAGTTTAACCTCTCAATTTAGTTTATTTAATTTAAAGTAAAAGTTAATTTTAATATTTTGAAATTGTTAACACATCTGTACAAGTGCTTGTGGTGTAAAGGATTATTCACTGAAACCGCTTATGTTAAATTTCATGAACACACAGGTTGCAAGTTCAAAGCCAGGTTGCTGCCTAAACTTTTGCAAATTTAAAACACAATTCACATCCTGGCAATCTGATCACATGATCAGGAGCACATGGGCTCAGTCAGACAGTAGGCCTCCATGTTGACAGCAGCACACATTGAGTTATGGCAGAACACAGATGTGAGTTATTTCTTGAATTTATGTTGCTTTTATGTTCAAAATGAGTTCAGAGAAAATACATTTGATTCAATTAATGCTTATTTAGAAAATATGGATTTTGAATATGTGTACACTTTATTAGGTTCAGGTTTGGATTGTATGCTAAACACGTATTTTGTTTCTCCTTTATAGTTTCTCTGAACCTCTCGTCAACTGTTTGTATACAACGATACAACGTATGTACTTAATGCAAAGCTACAACAACGATAGACATAACGAAAACGGAAATAAACTTTGGTGAGAGTGTATATCAGACTAATGTGTTTCTTGCCACAACAGTCCCGTTTATTCAAATACAACGCAATCAATCAGTGACTAACGCCTTGATTTCAGGTTGTCAAATATGTCTCCCAATTCTCAATGATGACAATAGCAACGATCCCCAATTGCTGGGAAAACTGTAGACAATTGCGCATATCTCGTGTTTCAGGGGACTACATTCATTGTTCTGCGCGGTTCATTCCTCAACTGAATTGATTCCCCGTATTTAATGACATCGGATTTAGTGAAGAGAGTAATGAATGAAAGTTGTGAGCGATATTGAAATGTTTGTTATCAGTTACTGATCCCATCGTTCCAGGAGAATCAACAGTGTTTCCTGTGTTACTTGGGATAGAGACAGGGATGACTAGTCACGCGAACAGCAATGATCCGCCCCTGAATGGTAACTGACTCATCTATTCAACAGAGACTATCAACATTGGACAATAAAATGTTAGCAATTTGTTTTAAACATCGGTGCACAATAAAAATGACACTGAACGTCTCACGACGTAGTTTCACGTTTATCCAAATTAGTCCAAATGGGATACTGTCATCATTCTTATTGTAATTTAAAAATTATTCAAACATTTGCGAATATAACCTCTACACGAAATAGAACTTAACACTCAATTAATCCTTGGAAGCAAGACCTTGAAATGCATTATTTCTGTAATTCACAGAAAATTTCAATTGAAATTGCGTGTGAATACAGAATAAAATTTCACTTTCGCTTGTTATGTCAACAAGTGTTTTCGAAATCATTTTTTTTCTTGGCTTTCTCAGGGAACTTGCCAATGAATAACACTGAGATCAGTCGTATCTTGAGCTAGGAACCATTCCACACCAAACGTGGTTAACCCCAGATCAAACCCAGATAACAACGAGCGAGATAATACGTCAATCACAGCCTCAGACTACGGTATCCCAATGGAAAGGTTTATGGTACCATATTCTATTAACAAAAGTAGCAATATTCCATTTTGAACTGATCTTATTTGGAAACAGGTGGCATGATTATATGCCAATTTAGAAAATGATTATTCCATTCAAAACATTACTACACGAAGTCGTTGATCGCTGGACCGTGATGGCAAACGTTATGCTTTCGGATCAATTAACGTTTACTTTGGACTTGAATATCTTAAATAAGTAAAGAAGAAGAAAACCGGATACTCTTGGTAGCGTTTTATCATGTTAATCACTGATTATATAGAACCGTTTGATTCCGCAACGCTCTAGACTAGTTACAGGCAGTTTTTCTCGTGGACATAAAACTTATTGAGCTTTTAATACTGTCATAAAATGTGACTGCAGGATATTTCAAATGTTATAAGAGAATTTTAGTATCGATGTGAAATGCGACATATATCTTCAGGAATATTACGTTCTCGTAGTACCTTATGATTGTCAGGTTATGGGATCTGTGTTACCGGGAATGTCTGTGTAAATCAAGGTAACACTACACGATCCAATGCGTAGTTGGAACATAAAATATTGCATTTCATGTTATTCACGCAACTGAACAGATACGATAAATCATAAAATTCAGTTGCAGTTTGCAGTTGAGGATCATGTGAGTGTATTTAAGTGATGATTTCAACATATCAATGCTGTGTGTAGTTCTAGTGTTTTCCTAGGCATTTTAGCAGGGTGCAGTGCTTTACTTGGCGCCCTGTCCATCTTTTAATACAATAATTGATAGTAACAATTGGTGGCATTTACTTATAATCATATCAGACAGTTCAACAATTAAACGATTTGTTGCAATGGCTAATTCTATATTGCATTGCACCACAAGGCACCACTTTGACACTCATCGCGCTGTTGGGTAATAAAGTGCTCTACAGCTCTATTTATCATCATAATTTCACCTAACGTTTTTACAGGCACATGCAACAGTGGAGTAGAAAACACACTGGCCAACATGATATTCTTTACGTTGACAGTGTAGTGCAGTTATTATTAGACCTACACAATTGTTTACTTTTTGCATGTAACCTTATTTATCTTCCATTCAAGATCAAAGTGGTTGATAATCTGTGGTTGACCTCTGTTTCTGGATTTGTGAAATGAATCTCTTGGTTCTCTGTGGTGACAGTTTGACACATGCCTGCAGCCACTGTTATGCCTCCCCTGACAGTGAATGTCAGAATGGCAGGCGTGGGAGCCAAGGTTGTCATTAACAATTATAGCAATTTCACGTCAAGTATGCTGAGGGCCAGTTTAGTTCTCATGGGTACCGTGATAGTGGTTGGCAAGAGATATATGGTAATATTAATCACTTATTCCCTTGATTGATAATGTTGTCGTTGCTGGTAATATCTCAAATGACACACACTTTGTTTTTGCATCACAAGACATCACGGCTAGTTTAAAGTATAATCCATTAGTTCGTCCCATATTAGGACCTAAACAAATGTCAGTGTTTCAAACTAGCAAACACGAAATTAAGTTGGCCATAAACGCATGAGTTAGAAAACACATACGGGGAACAAGCACATTCTATTTCCTGCAAACTGTGAATGTGACAGGCACTGCTGGTGCGGTAGAGTACGCTTAGCCTTTTCACAAACCTTGACCAACAACTGATTTGGATCCATTCATATATTTTTATCTACTAATTTTCCTCTTATCTCCAACTGAATCTGTTTCTGTTGAATCTGAATCTGTGCGGATATTCTCTGGTGTATGAACTACATGCTTTCTCCTCAGATCAAATATGAAGAGACACTGGTGGATTCTATTGACAGCAATACTTCCGAGGCGATTACAGGGATCATTCCGTGTCACGATACGTTTTCCAGCTTCAATGCATGTCTTTGATAAACTTATAAGGAATAAAAACTATAAATTAGTGTGTGACAGTGTTGTTCGATGTTTACAAGCAAACACCGTATACTCAACACATAACACATACGTGATGTCTTGATCCACAGCATCAAGGTCAGATTGCCAGGTATGAAACCGGTCTGCAGCAGTACACCTTAGTTCTTTTGCAGTTCTGAAAGGCTAAAATATCTATTTTAGTGTAATCATATTATATGAAACATGTATCCTTATATGTAAACATATATATATGTGCGTTTGCGATTTAAGCTTACAAGAATTAGCAGGTGTATGTCGTTATTTATCAGCTGAGTTTAGAATGCCATTTCCATTTTTCTTAAATTCCGTTGACTCTCCGCATCATGTGTAAAACATTGATCATACAAATCAATATGCAAAAGATTTGCAATCGGATAATTGTTTCCTTTTACAACATGTAACAGGTGCCCATCTTCTATTACTTTACAGCTTTTACGACATCTGCTAAAACCCTGCAGCTAAAACATGGGTTTGTTTTGACAATACATCAAACGACGATAACATGTCTGTACAATGTCGCCCTTCTTTTCCATTCGCACTGGAAGCTTGTGATCAGACATCTGCTGTCTCAGACTCCAA